GAGCAAAGGCATCCTCGATCCAAATGTTTTCCAAAACATTTCCAAATGTTTCTCAAAGCTTCCAGATGAAGCTTTCATAACTAGGCTGCAACCCCTCCAAAGCCTGGGGCATTAAGCATGGCATCATGGTGTGCTGCAGCAGACACCAAGGAAATGGCTGGTGGGGACTTTGCCAATGGCACACGTGCCAAAACACACCCGAGAGCCCTGCAGAGAAAACACAGTGTGTCAAGAAAAAACTGCCTCTGCTTCCTCCACAGGGCATATTCCAATGTGACAGAGGAGCTTGATTGCTGCGTGGGCTTCCAGGATCAGTCAGTCCCTCTCCACTGAGCACTGGTGAGGCCACACCTCAAGTGTTGTGTCCAGTTCCGGACCCCTCACAACAAGAAGGACATTAAGGTGTCCAGAGAAGGGAAGGGAGCTGGAGAGGGTCTGGAGAACAAGTCTGATGAGGATCAGCTGTGGGGGCTCAGCCTGAAGAAAAGGAGGCTCAGAGGGGACCTTCTCACTCTGCAATTCCCTGACAGGAGGGGGCAGCCAGGTGGGGCTCAGGCTCTGCTCCCAGGGAACAGGGACAGGACAAAAGGACACGGCCTCAAACTACATCAGGAGAGGCTCAGGTTGGACATCAGGAAGAATTTCTTCACTGAAAGGGTTGTTAAGCATTAGGACAGAATGCCCAGGATGGTGGTGGAGTCACTATCCCTAGAGGTGTTCAAGCAACAACTGCATGTGGCACTCAGTGCTGTGGTTTGGTTGACAAGGTGGTGTTTGATCAAAGACTGGACTCATTGATCTTGGAGGACTTTTCCAACTGTAATGATTCTATAAATACACGTGGCCAGATGTCCTCACCTTCTCGGCAGGCTTTTGAGTTTATTCCAAGCAAATGAAGATCCTTCCCTGCCTCTCTTTTTGAATTGCAAACAAAGAATTCAATAAAATAGTTTTTAAAAAAAGTTTAAAACCTACTTATGGAATGGCATGGAGAGAAAACTGTACATTTTCTACATTCAAGCTAAAAATTCTGAAGTCCTGTCCACACACCATCAAATGTGGATGTTTATGGTTACTACACAGAGAAAACTGAGACAGTTGTGGGAGATTCTGGTCTGAGCAGCTGACCACAAGCACAGCAGCCAAAGGATGAGCACTGAGGTGTCAGCGGGGCTCAGCTGCAGGAACTGACCACTCTGGGGAGGGGGGACTGGCACACAGCTGGTCCCCATCCTCAGCCTCCTCATCCCACTGCTGACACAACTTCCATCAGAAGCAGCGTAAGGCAGGGTCTGGGTCCTTCAAAGCCCAAAGCTCATCTCCACCTCTTTCAACATGCTCCTGGACACAATCAAAGCCCCTCCTACCAACTGTACATGGGCTTTGGATTAGACCTTTTGTAGAGTAGGAAAAAAAAAAAAAAGCCTTTCTTGAGGATGATAAAGTCTAGACACTACCATATATTTTCCAGCTGATGCAGCAAACCTAAAAAGCCCTCCCTTGATCTCGGACTGTCACGATCAAAGCCATTATCCCATTCGGAGCCCTTCTGAAACTCTAGCTTCCAAATGTGCAAGTTATTTTTAAAATCTAAACCAGGCCAAGCCTCTTGTTTGGAGTTTTATGAGGAAAATGGGGTGTGTTCCTCCCAAACCTTCCCCCACCACGTCTGGAAGTGGCTGGTGGGCACATGGTGGAGGACCAGAGCAGGGAGGGAGCCCCATGTCTGGGGACACCTCAGTGGCCACGATCTCCTTGCATGGGGGGACACAGCTGAAGCCCCAAGGTGGCTCTGGTGTGGGGAATAGTCCCCATCCTTGACTGAGAGAGTTTTTTGGAGACCACACGTTGTTTGCATCCCCATCCTCAGGATTTGTGCCTGCCTTTGGCACCCTCCATCACTCAGTGTGTTACTCTGGAGACAAAGAAAAGGAAACAGCTTGAGATACTTTCCTTTTCTACAGAAATTAAATAAAAATAAGCACTATGAATTTCCTTTACCAAATAGCAGAATGATCAAGTGCACAAATAACATCCAGCTCTGCACCAAGGCAGAACCAGGGAAATAAGGTAATCAAAATCATTCTCCAGTCTCTTGGTGCCGTTTTTCAGCTGGCTGAAAGGAAAGAAAAGATACACAGTCCTGCAAAAGAACAGGAAAGCCAAAGAGGCATCAACCTCTGCCTTAAGTGGGATGCTCAAGGAGAGATGGTGAAAGACCAGCCAGGTCATCCCAGACCAGCTGGTGCTGCGTGGGGAGCACCAGAGCTCCTGGCATGCTGTGGCCTCTGCAGGAGAGGGAACCTGTGGTCAGCTCCAATCACCAAAGCTCACAGTGTCCAGACTGGAAAAAAATAAAGGATGGATGGTCTGGAATGATGAGGAGTTTGGAGAGAACTTTGAAAGGCTTTTTGAAAGCAGGCGACCACCAAGCTTCCTGTACCACATCCTCAGGTAGACTTTTGGGGATATCCTTCAAAGAGAGATGGGGACAGAAGGTGGATCACACTGCAGAAAGAAGAGAGCAACACAGAGCATTCACATGCTCCAAAGCTATTTAAAAACCAAATGAGGCTCCCCAGTGAGCACTTAATTTAGCTAAGCAACTTCTAAAGCACCAGGCAAATGAGCCACATCATCTCCTCTTCCTCCCAGCATCCATCTGGTCTCCACCACTCTGTCACCTCCCTTCCCCTCCATGTTTTCACTCTCCTCCACTCCCAGCAGCTCTGCTCCTCCTCCCCACCTCTCCCTGTGCCCAAAACAAGCAGATCTGTGAAAAGCCCAGTGAAGCAGGCAGGCACACACCAGTAGGATGGGGATTAGAGACCTGCCACCCCTCCAGCACCCCTCACTGTGGCTGGAGGGACCATGCCAGGCAGGAGCACTGGCTGTGCTGCACATCACACATTCCCAGGGCTTCAGGAGGTGCTGTCTGAACCACCACCAGCTTTCCAGCTGGGCAAACATCAAGGAAAAAATCAGGGCCCAGTGAAGCAGGCAGGCACCAGTAGGATGTGGATTGGAGACCTGCCACCCTTCCACTCCAGCACCCCTCACTGTGGCGGGAGGGACCATGCCAGGCAGGAGCACTGGCTGTGCTGCACATCACACATTCCCAGGGCTTCAGGAGGTGCTGTCTGAACCACCACCAGCTTTCCAGCTGGGCAAACATCAAGGAAAAAATCAGCTTGACAGGCTTTCTTAAGAGTATTTCCATCAAGTAGGACTTTCCCACCTCCACGCACACCGGAGCAGAAAAAGCAAAGGCCACCGGCAACACGCTGCTGGTTGTGACAGCCACATCAGCCCCAGAGGGATTTGCCAGGGGATTTGTCTCTCCAAATTGTTACTCTGGAGCTGGGACAGGATGTGGGATCATGCCCAGCTTCAGCTCTGCCACAGCAGAGTCCAACACATGCCCCACCACTCGTCTTTACTCTTCCCAGCAAACGCAGAGGGAAGATGGACTTCAACCTCAACCTTCACACAAGCAATTTTCCCTGAAGTCACCAAAACCCTGCAGATCTCTTTGGCCCCACCTTGTCCCCTCCAGACCCCTTCCCTTTCATGAGCTTCTCCCAGGGAAGGAGAACAAAGCCCAGCTGCACACCCATATCTCCAAGAAGGGCTACCACAAAGCTACCAACCTCAAAAAGTTATGCTCCCTCTCACACAGGAAAGCAGAGAAACTGATGGCAATGACTGCCTCTGGATTTAAAAGCATCTAAACCCATCAGGAAAGCAGCATGCACCCTGAACCCTCGCTCCCAGGATTTGCACATTGGACATGATAAATGAGGCAGCTGATAAGCCAGCACCTCACAACCCAACCCCTACCACGCCAGCTCAGGAAGAAAGGGAAGCCAAAGGGAAGAAAGCAAATTGTCCAGCCCCACACTGCCATCAGAACAGGGCCACTCATCTGCTCTCGGTGAGAAACACTGAAGGGAAAACATCACAATTCACTCAGGTTCCAGGCATGAACCAGGGCTGGTTCAGCACCTCACTGCTCTCCCTGCCAGGCTTCCCAGCCATCCCACCCTCCTCTGCAGTGACCTCCTGAGTCTTTCTCATCTCCTGTGCTAGAGATGGGAAATGTGTGCATTAACAGTCCCCTTTCCCAAACCAAACATAGCAAACACAGGCTGAAAAACAGCAAATTCCCAATCCTGCCAAACTTACAGTGGTAACTTATTTCCAGACAGAGCTGTGATTTTTATAAGGGATACCACTGGGTTAAGGAGTCAAAGCCATGACTGTATGAGTGAAAGCAAAAGCCTTTCATTCCTGTAAGGTCTTTTTTCCCTCCCCTGCTCCTGAAATGACAGGGAGCAACGCAGCTCTTGCCAGTTCAGCAGGGTGAAGGCTTGGCTGAGAGCAGCCTCATTAAACTGGCTGGGTGTTCAGCACCAATCCAAACACTCAGACCTCTGATCCCCACATGACAGGCTGGGAACCACAGGCAACTCACAATTAAACCCGTGACAATCAGGGAAAATCCATACAACCCCCCCAAGCTGAACCCCCCAACACCACCCCCACCCTCCCTGCTTTCATTTATTTATTTATTTGTTTACTTACATAAGCCTCATGGCAGATAACTTGGAGGAAATCGGATGCTTTAATGATTAAGCCACACTTAGGCAGCCCTCTGGAAGATAAATACACCCTTTGGTAACCCTGCAACAGAAACAGAAGGTACAAACAGACAGTAACTAATTATTCTGATTAAATCTTGGAAGACCTGAAATACCCGACTGCAGCAGAACAAAGCCAGCATGCAGCAGGGGCTGCTGCTCGTAAAAAAAAATAAAATAAATAAGTCACACCCTTTTTTTGAAAGAATTCACCCAAATAAACCTTAAGTGCTTCTGTGCCGTGTTTGTTTGTGTGTTTTGTTTCTGAAGGTCTAGGCAGCTGATAGGAAATCTCTGCCATGCCCTGGAGGGATCCCGTCGCCTTCAGCTAAAATTAGACTTCAAGGGAAGGGGGAAGGCGGCGTCTCCAGCCCAACACGCACTCGAGGAGCGGCGCGTGGGGGTTTTTCCTCCTTTCCCATCGAAACCAAACACACAGGGGATCGAGGATGAAAAGAAGGTAGGGAAAATAAACAAATAAGGCGCACTCCGAAGGGGGAAAGGCGGGGACAGCAGGTCTACCCCGCTGCTAGCCTGGGAGGGATGTGAGCCAGGGATGGGATGCGGGCAGGTGGGGAGGCAGGATGCAGTGGGATGCTCAATGCAGCAGTGAGAGGAGCTTGCAAAGCCCACCAGCGTGGATATGGAGTTAGGCACCTGCTTTATTGGTGTCCAAGAAACATGCCAGGAGCCTGTTTGAGCCAATGCTGCAGACCAAGACAAGGGGATGTGCTCAGCAGACATTCCTGTGCTCTCCTTGCCTTGGAGGAAAACCAGATTTCCCCTCCACCCCTTCCCTCTGCCCTCCCCCCACCACACTAAATGCCAGTGGAGCTCAGGGGAATATTTAATCTCAAACCTCAGTAATCAATCAGTTCACCCTCATGCATGAGAAAGAGGCACAGCGGTAAGCACCAAATCCCATTTCCATCCAGCAATCCGACGGTTTAATTACCTACATAACACTTCCCTTTTAACATAAATCCTGAAGAGATCCAGGCAGCCCCCAGGCTATGGGTGGGGAAGGACATGGTGATGGGGAAGAACATGGGGAAGGGGTGGAAGAAAGGGAGGAGAAGCCATTACGGCAATTATTTAAAATGACAGCTTTCTATGGCTGCTCCACTTGGCTGTTGGCACAGCCATTGCTTGACCTTGTGTTGGCTGTCCCAGAGGATGTGCAACAAGCCCAACATCCAGCCCTGCCACCAGAAGCTGCATCTGCTTCTTTCCAACACACCAGCGAGCATGTGGGAAAGAGGGCATGGAAAATGCAAGGTGGGCACACGTGGAATGGACTGCCCAGGCTCTGACACAAATAACAGCAACGGAGCCTCTCCACTGGTGCTGCCAGACTTACTCCAAAGCCTGCTCACTTCAAAAGGAGCCTTCCTAGCAGGGTCTGAGCAGGTTTGGGATCACACCTGTTATTCCAAGTGCAAGAATGGCTGGACCAGCAGCACCATCACACAGCTGCCAGTGCAACAGGTAGGCAGCTGTCAAATACATCCCCCCTTTGTCCAACCAGACCAGTCCCGAGGGGCACAGCTCACAAGCAGCCATGCTGAAATATATACATATTGTTTTTAAATATAAACACATGCACAGACTTTTCTAATATATAGGAACAAAAGAGGGGACACCCCGCTGAAACCCCATGAGCAGCTCCAGTGCTCTCACAGCGATGGAGGAAATGAGAAGCAGAGACCAGGCACACACCCGCTTGCCACGGCGTGTTTTGGCTCTGGGAACGTTTCTGGATTCTCCAGCTTGAGCTCTGACCTCCAAGAGATATAAAATGGTTTCAGAGCCACTCTGGAGGAGAAGTGGAGGGGTTCCTGGGGGCTCAGCCAGGCAGGTGGAGCAGGATGAGAGGTGGGATCCAGGTGCTCACAGGGACAGCTGAGCCAGTCCATGCCCCACCAGTTCAGAGGCCTTCAGAACACCCATTGTGCACAGGAAGAGGCCAGGAACAGCCCCAAACCCCCAGTGCACAGCAGAAAGCAAGGTCCCCTCATCCATCCATGAGCACAGTTCCAGCCTCACCACATCACAGTTCTCAGATAAAGTCAGGGGAACAAGCTCAGGACTGGGGTGGTTGGGGTTGCCTTTGACTTCTCTATGTGTAGCAGAGCTGTGTTTCTGAACCCTCTTTCTCCAGGCAGATCCAGTGGCAGGCTTTGTAAACACATGTGCACTGCTTCCAAGGGGCTCATAAAAGCAGGGGAGGTGGTGCAGAGCAACAGGAAATTTTCAACTCCTCTTGAGAGAAAGCATCACTCAGAGATGTGGAAGGAAAACCTACCTGTAAACCCAGATTTCTGCACTGTGGTCTCTTCAAAGGCCAATAATCCCACCCCTCCCTTTTTTTACTGGCTTCAATTTCCCAAGATCTGTAAGATCAGGAAATGCTTGGCACAGTGGACTAAGCCCTCAAACTCCACACAGAAGGAAACTATTGCTCTTACACCCTGCCTGAACTCTTCATTCCACACCAGAAGGTGCACAATTATCAGGGATCAGGCACCATCAGATGCTGGCAGCGTGTTCCCAGAGGATCCAGTTGCATCCTCATGCTCTCCCAAAGAGCAGAACTTTGCAGTGCAATTCAGGACAGAGATACTCTGTGCAGTATCTAGAGCAAATTAAACCTCCCAGGCACAGCAGCAAGCATGGATTTATTGATTCATGGAAAATGTCCTTATAAATTACTTCATTCAGATCAACGGGACAAGACAAAACGAGGACTCTCCTCGGCAGTGAGAGGTTGCACTGCAGTAGTTTCAGTCACACGTTCCAGAAGAAATCACTTTTTCAGAGCAGACATTTCTTACAGGGCTTTGGGAGGTAGCAGAGGGCAACAGAGTGGCCAGTGCAGATCTGTGTCACATCTCACCTGGTCCCCACCTCTCTGCCCCACAGCAGGCAGAGCCAACGCATGATTTTTGCAAGCAAATAGGGAAAAACCACTGCTTGGCATCATTTTCACAGCTGCAGAAACTCCATCCACACCTGCTTGCTGGCTTACACAGGGCTGCAGCCACCAGGTGGGATGGGACCCCTCTGGGGTCTGCTCACTGTGGAACAGGGAGGTGGGACTGTCTCCCTGGTGAGATGTGGCACAGATCCATTAGGATCTCTTCGTACTGTCCTCCTCCAACCCTGTGAAGCTACATTTAGGAGTGTTTGCCCTGAAAGTGATTTCTCCTAGAGTATGGGGCTCCCAAACACTGCAGCTTGTTGATCTTATCAGCTTCTCTTGCTACTGATGGCTTAACCTGCTTTCATCAAGCTCAAACTCTCTTCAGGGCTACCTGTGGTCTGCATTCAGGATGCTGAGCCGAGGCTAAGGCCACTTTCTGCAAGTGTTTGTTCCAGTGGCCAAATGCAGCTCAAATACAAATAAATATCCAGATGTCCCCGTGCCTTGTTCAGGATTGCATGCACCTGGCTTTGGCTTCCAGGCATGGGCTGGAGAGCTGCTGGATGCCATTTTATAGCTTCTTGATGAAAAGGCAAGAGGAGCATTCCCATTCCCCAGCACAAAACATTTCCCCAGCTTTTGTGCACGTGCAGCTCTTCCCTGCACACTCATCAGCCAAACCAGGGTCAGGCACTGCCCTTCCACCACGGGTTCTGCTCACAGACTGCCTCTTTTGCTAATCACAGCTCAAAAGGCAGCACTGACAGAAACAGAGGACCCACTCTCAAGCTGCACCAAGGGAAATACAGGTTGGATATTAGGAAAAAAATTTTTTACAGAAAGAATGATGAAGTTCTGGAATTGTCTGCCCAGGGAGGTGGTGCAGTCACCATCCCTGGGTGTGTTTAACAAAGCCTGAATGTGGCACTGGGGGCCAGGGTTTAGCTGAGGCGTTGGGGCTGGGCTGGACTCTATGATCTTGAAGGTCTCTTCCAACCCAGTGATTCTGTGAAAATATTATTCCACAGCTCCAAATCACTGCCTGTGCTCCCTGTCCTCTTTATATTACTCCCCAGCTTTGAGAATCAGCACCAACCCAGGCCCCCTTCAGAGCACCACCAGCCCAGACGCCGAGTCACGCTGCTGGATGCCTCCAGGATGGCACCCACCGAGGGCTTCCAGGAATGCCTCTGCCTCCTGTCAACTCCCCCGCTGCAAAACATTAAAACTACAATTATCTCAGCAGATTAACAACGAGCACAGCATCTCCGGCAGCAGTCTGAGGCAGGGACTCCCGGCAGCAGCGAGTTCAAGTTACCAGGGCACTGAGGCACACACAGCTGTGTTTGTGGTCCCTGCTGATCTCAGGCACCTCCGCCCTGCCACGCTGCCTCACCCCTTCCCCCAAACACACCCCGTTTCCCTCGGCGCTGATCAGCATTTGGATAAATAAACGTGTCTCATCACATCTATTCACTTAACCCACCGCTGAGGGGTTGCCATTCCCACGTGGAGTGGCTTTGGGAGAGCCATTAGCATTTTATTCTGCAATCTCCGGTGTGATGTGGTCCCTTGGCTCCTCCCAGCCCCAGGGCACAGCTCCTGGCTCCCCAGCATCCTCCTGGCTTATGGACATTGCAAAGGCAGGGAGGTGAGATCTCACCTTTCTGAGCTGAAAACTGGCCCCACCACGGAGTGCTGCTCTGCTCCAGAGACACCAGGAAAGGAAGGACAAACTGCCTTGTCCCTGGGGAGCAATCCTCTGCTTCCCTGAACCAACAGACTCAGGCACTGCCACAGAAGATGAGGAGCTGATCTGTCAAGGGTGAAGCTGATTTACCCTAATTTTATCTAAAATTTGGGGCAGGAACCAATATCTTCTCTGTGGGTGCCTGTGATAGAACCTGAGGGAACGGGATGAAGTTGTGTCAGGGGAGGTTGAGGCTGAATATTAAGGAAAGGTTCTTCCCCCAGAGGGTGGCTGGGCACTGGAACAGGCTCCCCAGGGTGGTGATTACAGCATCAAATCACCAGAGTGATTTGACAGAGTTCAAGGAACATTTGGACAACACTCTGAGGCACATGGTGTGATTCTTGGGATGTCCTGTGCAGGGCCAGAGTTTGAACTCAGTGATCCTTAAGGGTCCCTTCCAGCTCAGGACATTCTATGCTTCCATGATAATTTACCTCCCCTCTCCATCTGTAAGCCAAATCAGAGATAAAGCAGGTCAGTGGCTCATTATTTTAGGAACCATGATGAGACATATATATATCAGGAACAGCCCCAAACCCCCAGTGCACAGCAGAAAGCAAGGTCCCCTCATCCATCCATGAGCACAGTTCCAGCCTCACCACATCACAGTTCTCAGATAAAGTCAGGGGAACAAGCTCAGGACTGGGGTGGTTGGGGTTGCCTTTGACTTCTCTATGTGTAGCAGAGCTGTGTTTCTGAACCCTCTTTCTCCAGGCAGATCCAGTGGCAGGCTTTGTAAACACATGTGCACTGCTTCCAAGGGGCTCATAAAAGCAGGGGAGGTGGTGCAGAGCAACAGGAATTTTTCAACTCCTCTTGAGAGGAAGCATCACTCAGAGATGTAGAAGGAAAACCTACCTGTAAACCCAGATTTCTGCACTGCGGTCTCTTCAAAGGCCAATAATCTCACCCCTCCCTTTTTTTACTGGCTTCAATTTCCCAAGATCTGTAAGATCAGGAAATGCTTGGCACAGTGGACTAAGCCCTCAAACTCCACACAGAAGGAAACTATTGCTCTTACACCCTGCCTGAACTCTTCATTCCACACCAGAAGGTGCACAATTATCAGGGATCAGGCACCATCAGATGCTGGCAGCGTGTTCCCAGAGGATCCAGTTGCATCCTCATGCTCTCCCAAAGAGCAGAACTTTGCAGTGCAATTCAGGACAGAGATACTCTGTGCAGTATCTAGAGCAAATTAAACCTCCCAGGCACAGCAGCAAGCATGGATTTATTGATTCATGGAAAATGTCCTTATAAATTACTTCATTCAGATCAACGGGACAAGACAAAACGAGGACTCTCCTCGGCAGTGAGAGGTTGCACTGCAGTAGTTTCAGTCACACGTTCCAGCAGAAATCACTTTTTCAGAGCAGACATTTCTTACAGGGCTTTGGGAGGTAGCAGAGGGCAACAGAGTGGCCAGTGCAGATCTGTGTCACATCTCACCTGGTCCCCACCTCTCTGCCCCACAGCAGGCAGAGCCAACGCATGATTTTTGCAAGCAAATAGGGAAAAAACACTGCTTGGCATCATTTTCACAGCTGCAGAAACTCCATCCACACCTGCTTGCTGGCTTACACAGGGCTGCAGCCACCAGGTGGGATGGGACACCCACCTGGTGTCCCCAGCCACCCCTCTGGGGTCTGCTCACCGTGGAACAGGGAGGGAGGACTGTCTCCCTGGTGAGATGTGGCACAGATCCATTAGGATCTCTTCTGTACTGTCCTCCTCCAACCCTGTGAAGCTACATTTAGGAGTGTTTGCCCTGAAAGTGATTTCTCCTAGAGTATGGGGCTCCCAAACACTGCAGCTTGTTGATCTTATCAGCTTCTCTTGCTACTGATGGCTTAACCTGCTTTCATCAAGCTCAAACTCTCTTCAGGGCTACCTGTGGTCTGCATTCAGGATGCTGAGCCGAGGCTAAGGCCACTTTCTGCAAGTGTTTGTTCCAGTGGCCAAATGCAGCTCAAATACAAATAAATATCCAGATGTCCCCGTGCCTTGTTCAGGATTGCATGCACCTGGCTTTGGCTTCCAGGCATGGGCTGGAGAGCTGCTGGATGCCATTTTATAGCTTCTTGATGAAAAGGCAAGAGGAGCATTCCCATTCCCCAGCACAAAACATTTCCCCAGCTTTTGTGCACGTGCAGCTCTTCCCTGCACACTCATCAGCCAAACCAGGGTCAGGCACTGCCCTTCCACCACGGGTTCTGCTCACAGACTGCCTCTTTTGCTAATCACAGCTCAAAAGGCAGCACTGACAGAACCAGAGGACACAGTCTCAAGCTGCACCAAGGGAAATACAGGTTGGATATTAGGAAAAAAATTTTTTACAGAAAGAATGATGAAGTTCTGGAATTGTCTGCCCAGGGAGGTGGTGCAGTCACCATCCCTGGGTGTGTTTAACAAAGCCTGGATGTGGCACTGGGTGCCAGGGTTTAGCTGAGGCGTTGGGGCTGGGCTGGACTCTATGATCTTGAAGGTCTCTTCCAACCCAGTGATTCTGTGAAAATATTATTCCACAGCTCCAAATCACTGCCTGTGCTCCCTGTCCTCTTTATATTACTCCCCAGCTTTGAGAATCAGCACCAACCCAGGCCCCCTTCAGAGCACCACCAGCCCAGACGCCGAGTCACGCTGCTGGATGCCTCCAGGATGGCACCCACCGAGGGCTTCCAGGAATGCCTCTGCCTCCTGTCAACTCCCCCGCTGCAAAACATTAAAACTACAATTATCTCAGCAGATTAACAACGAGCACAGCATCTCCGGCAGCAGTCTGAGGCAGGGACTCCCGGCAGCAGCGAGTTCAAGTTACCAGGGCACTGAGGCACACACAGCTGTGTTTGTGGTCCCTGCTGATCTCAGGCACCTCCGCCCTGCCACGCTGCCTCACCCCTTCCCCCAAACACACCCCGTTTCCCTCGGCGCTGATCAGCATTTGGATAAATAAACGTGTCTCATCACATCTATTCACTTAACCCACCGCTGAGGGGTTGCCATTCCCACGTGGAGTGGCTTTGGGAGAGCCATTAGCATTTTATTCTGCAATCTCCGGTGTGATGTGGTCCCTTGGTTCCTCCCAGCCCCAGGGCACAGCTCCTGGCTCCCCAGCATCCTCCTGGCTTATGGACATTGCAAAGGCAGGGAGGTGAGATCTCACCTTTCTGAGCTGAAAACTGGCCTCACCACGGAGTGCTGCTCTGCTCCAGAGACACCAGGAAAGGAAGGACAAACTGCCTTGTCCCTGGGGAGCAATCCTCTGTTTCCCTGAACCAACAGACTCAGGCACTGCCACAGAAGATGAGGAGCTGATCTGTCAAGGGTGAAGCTGATTTACCCTAATTTTATCTAAAATTTGGGGCAGGAACCAATATCTTCTCTGTGGGTGCCTGTGATAGAACCTGAGGGAACGGGATGAAGTTGTGTCAGGGGAGGTTGAGGCTGAATATTAAGGAAAGGTTCTTCCCCCAGAGGGTGGCTGGGCACTGGAACAGGCTCCCCAGGGTGGTGATTACAGCATCAAATCACCAGAGTGATTTGACAGAGTTCAAGGAACATTTGGACAACACTCTGAGGCACATGGTGTGATTCTTGGGATGTCCTGTGCAGGGCCAGAGTTTGAACTCAGTGATCCTTAAGGGTCCCTTCCAGCTCAGGACATTCTATGCTTCCATGATAATTTACCTCCCCTCTCCATCTGTAAGCCAAATCAGAGATAAAGCAGGTCAGTGGCTCATTATTTTAGGAACCATGATGAGACATATATATATATTTTTTTTTTTTAATTAAAGGGAAACTCATTTACTTAAACACTTCAATTGGCTTAATTATCCCAATCCAGGAGTTTGCTGGTGCAGTCTTTGTTTTGTTTCTTTTTAAATAACAGAAGTAATCATCCCAGGGAGGGCAAACATCCATTTCCCATGGAAGTCATCCAGGCTTTTCCTGGCATCCTGGAAGGGAGCAGCAGCAGAGTGTGAAGGGCTGGCACAGAGGTGGATAAGAGGGTTAAATCCAGCTGCTCAGAGATAAGCTGGTTACACACCAGGGCAGCAAATGGGGGAATATAGGTTTGCCAGCCTCCAGCAAATACCTGCACAAGGCACTCACTTGCATGGCTGACACTGGGTATTTAACTCAGAAGTTGCCAATATTAGAGACCCTGAAGCCACATTTCACTAAAGTTCTCCTGCTGATGAACTGCTTTCCTGGCTCCTCTGAAGCCAGCAACAGTGAGGGCTGAAAAAATTAAGTGACTCCTGGTTTTGAGGCCAGCATGGCAGAGAAGATGCAGCAGGACATTTTACCTGTTTTTGCGGCTTTCTGGTCTTTCAACGACCCTTGTGAGGCCAGACTCAGAAGAGTCTGAGATGCTGCCACACAGAAGAGTTTGAGATGCTGTTACACAGGACAAACCTCAGGAGATAAAGCAACAAAGACCCAGCCAGCAGCTCTGGCAGAGCACCCACACAGACAGAACAGGGTGCAAACAGGCATCCCCCACCACACAGCTTGTGTGTTGTGTGCCTAACCCCAGGCACACATTCCCAAGTGGCACCTTTGGACTGACACATTAAATTTCACTACTGGCCTTTAATTTCCCTTTTGTGTTCCAAGACTAAAATTTTTCTCATTTGCTACTCAAGCTGACCAACAGCTTTTTATTTTCCTTTGCATCCAGAAATACAGAACTGCTGCTTCTGGGAATTATGCAAAGATGGAGAGGGACCTTTTCTCTGTCCTGAAGCCACCAGCCATGCCCAGGTAGGTGCAGCTCAGCCACTAAACTTCGAAACCTGCCAGACAATGGAAAGTTTATGGCTATGCTGGAATTCCTTGTGCTTCCAAAACCTGCATCACATGAAACTCTGGAGCTGGAACCCTCCACAGAGATGCCCATCAAGCATCCCACACTTTGGCCCTGGTCCAGACACAGGTAAGCAGGAAAGAGTTTCAGCCATGGGATGCCCAATCCTGCTCTTCTCCTGGCTCCATCCAGAGGCAGCCAGCTGCATCCCGTGTTAGTGTGATTTCCATAATCAAAAAGGGAGTTAGCCTCCATAACCACAACCCAAAGGGTGTATTTAGCTCCACTGGAAGACAAAGGAGATCATGTCCACCGCAGATTAAATTAGCTGAGCCTGCTTACGCCAGGAGCGCCCATCTACCATCCATGGCAGCTCCCACAGATTTATTCCCAGCTCCACACTTTAGTGATCCCCCATGGAGGAACAGACCTGCTCCACAAAAGCTCTGAAAAGCAAAGAGGTGGAAGAATGGGTCCAACAGGTTTCCAAAGCCTTGGGCAGGACACAGTCTCTTGGAAGGGTTTGTGTCATCTGTCTGGACCCTGGAGCCATGGCATGGGATGAGGTGCAGGAACCCATATGGGGCTGCAACTCCTTCATCCCAGAGTGAGGAAGAGGATGACAGGGAACAATGGGGGGCCCGCTGAAACCACCCCAGAGCCCAGCTCCAGTGTGTCCCCTGCAGCCCAGCACAAGAGGACGAGGACCTTTCCTTCAGATCTGCCTCCCAGGAAAAGGTTCACTTCTCCTGCCTCATTTCCATGGATATAATTTCATCCCCCACCTCCTTTGCTGCACTCTCACGCAACTCAAAGACGCAGCCAAAGACGTGGTTATTTTTACATTTTCCTCCCAGGAGATGGTATCTCCACGGGGCACGGCTGCCATGCCTCATCAGATCACTGCACCAAACCGCCTCAGCCCCACGACAGCAGGATGAAGTCGGGGGGACACCCTGCCACAGGTATTTTTCTGTCTCACAGGCATCAAAACTCAGCAGCTTTTCAGTCAAGAGCATCCCAAAAAAGCAAAACAGCACCAGTCCTGGAGGTTGTTCCAGCTCCTCTCTCCCTAACTCCCACCCAAGCACTGAAACCATCTTCCAGCCATCCCAGTTTCAGATTTTTCTGAGGTTTTTGCAGTTGTCATGGAACCCTGGAAGGCACTTCCTTCATCCACATCCAGATCTTTGTGGATTCAGGATTCCTAAATTTCCCCAGTACAGAAAGTGACTGGGTTTGGCCATGCCATGATGTCAAGGTCCACGACATGACCTCCATGATGTGGCACATGGGCTTCAGCACAGCATTCCATGTCTTTAGACTTATTTGGCACTTTTACACTGGGAGAAGAAAAAAAAAGCAGCGCTTCCATGAATAAACCAAGAGCTTTTGGAATTTGGGGAGTGGGGAGATGGACAGCAAAATTCTAGGCATGCAGGGAAAAGCTGGTTTGTGCTTTTTGTGCTCTCCTGTCCCTAGGAGAGTTCCAAGCGGGGCAGAAGGGGTCTGCTGCATGTTGCAGCACATCTGCAGCAGCTACACCCTGCAAGTTCACCCAGTGTTTTCCTTTTCCCCTTTCCCTGAGATCACTCTTGCCATCATGTGTCCCTGACAGCCAGGCCAGGCTTGCAGGGAAGAAGGCATCACCTGTGCATGGCTTCTCTGTAGCTACTTTACAAATAAAAGTGATCATAATGAACGTTCGCACCTAGAAGAAATCCCAGTGCCCTTCCCCCTCCTACACCTCCCAAAGCAGAGCTCGGATCCAGCTGCTCTGCAACCTTATCTTGATGCAGAAACAGTCTGGGACAGAGATACAAGGGCTCCCTGAAGGCACAGCTTATTAAAGGCATCTTTCCTTAATCAGTTCTCTTCAAAAACACCGCACTGAAGCGCCGTTCCCGGACTGGTTTCCATCACAGCAGCAGCAAACACCCCCAGCCTGGCGAGGTCGTGTGTCCCCCTGGAAAGCCAAAGGGTTTTTCCAGGCTAAAAAGCAACCTAAAACCAAACAGATATGTCCAAGACAAGGCACTCTGGGGGACCTGCAGCTGAGAGTCACAAGAAGCTTCCAAACACATCCCTGCTCTTAACCCAGGGATGTCACAGGAATGGGGGCCAGCACAGTAATGAAGTCCACGGGATGCTCCCTCTGCATCCAGCAGCTTTTCCCACCAGCCCCACTCCTGCTACCGCAGGGGACTGCACACTTGCAGTCAAACACTGCTAATCCCAGGTTTCAAGAACCAGAGCTACAAAACAACCACACAAAGAGGCAGCAGCAGCTCACACGCATCCCGGGAACCTCCCTGCAGCCAACGCCTCTCTGTTTATCCAACACGCCATCTCCACTCGTTCAGCTATTTCCATCCCACCCTGCTATTAATGGATGCAGAAGGCGGTTGGGTGAGGCCTTCGACAAAAATCTCATTTAGAGATCAAGACAAGCTTAATTGGTTTCTAGCCAGACCTGCACAAAGATGGGTTACTCCACAAATACAGTTGCTAATCTGCCCATTATACTCCCTAAACTCCCACCCACAAAGAAAAGGGAAATAAAGCAAAGATGCACAAAGGAATGCAGGATTTTGAGTGTGTTACTTCCAGCTAAGAACACATCACGAGTGGTGAATTCTACAAGAACAAGCCCTTTGTTTTTCTTTGAAGGAAAAGGATAACCAAGCAGTAAACAAAATAACAACCAAAAGACCTAACATAGATTAAATCTGCATTTTCCACAGGCAATCCCCAGCTATTCTTGAAGAGCATTTCCAGCAGCTATTGTTTCTGTGGGCAGGCAGAGGAAAAGCTTACACGGCCAAGGAGACGTCATGTCACAAGTGACAGAGTAGAAAGGATGGGGAACCTCGTGATCAAAAAGCACAGGACTGAAACCCTGGAGAGCTGAATTCACTTCCGAACTTGGCTGTAAAAAAAAAAAAAAATTAAATTCGCGAATTTCCTGTGTGATCACATCCTAGATGATTTATTCAAAACCTGGTGTTGAAAAGCCAAGGGAGGGGGAAGGAAGCAGGAGGAGGAAGGGGAAGACACGGCCCTGTGGGCTTTTAATAAGCTTGGGGTTAGAGCAGCACGGGCAAGCTGTGAACATCCATCTGCATTGGGCACTGCATGACCTGGAGCTGGTGCTGGGAAAGCAATGAATATCCCACAAGCTCAGGTGAGAGCCTGCCCTGCTGCTGTGCCCAGGTGTGTGCCGTGGGCTCACATCCCAGAGGCTTCTGTAACGCTGGACTCCCAACAGAAACACAGCCACATGCACAATCGAAAGGTTAGGGATGGTTTCCCCTCCTGGCGCTACATGAGAATTTAGAACCAAGAACACAAATCTGTCCCCTGAGTGCAGCGTGTTATAAATCAGACACAGCCCAGCTCCAGCGCTGCAGAGCAGCTGCAGCAGCAGCACAGGTAGAGGCAGGTGATGAAAGGGTCCTTTGGTTACACCCTTCTGCCCTCCTGCAGCAGCCCAGGACTCCCAGCTCCAGCAGAGAAGGGCTGTTTATTTTCCTGAAAGCCAGCCAGCTCTGCTAGGCGGGAAGAACTGCACCCACGGGAGAGCTGAGCTGCGGATCCTCTGGCAGCACAGAGCCAAAAACAAGGCCAGCACCACAAAGGACAAGACCTTTACAGGGATCGTACTTGGGACCTTTACAGCAACATCCCCTGAGCTCCAGAGCACCTCTGCAGGGCCTCTTGGAGCAGGTGAGTTCAGAATACTGCAGAGAGACAGAGAGGGGTTTTTCCATTTTCAGCCACGATGGGCGAGCGTAAACCCAAGGATTGATGCAAACAGCAGCCCAGTCTCTGGCATTGGACAAGAGCTTCCAGGCATAGAGATGAGGGGTTGGTGCTGTCCCAAAATGCTGCTGTGGGAAACTCAGGGTGAACAGATCCAAACTTCTCCTTTCAGCAGCGAGACAAGCTGTAATTAGCAGCACTGAGTCCGACCCAGGGGCTGGATAAGGACATTCCCGTGACATATCTGACAGGGCGACTGTTGGATATGTTTTCCTTGGCTTTTTTCCTCCCTGGAAAAATGAGCACCCATTTTTCACAGGTCTTTTTTCCCCCACTCCTTGTTGCCCGAGTCAGTTTCCCAGAGGAAGGGCATACATATCAGAGCACACTGTAACAGCCCATTACCACAGCTGGAGCTCGGGTCTTGCCATCCCCAAGGGATGGGTCCCTCCTTAATTATCCCACACCTCAATGGCACACTGGGGATGCCAGACCCCAAAGACACAGTCTCAGTTTGACTTTCACCAAAATGAAAAACACAGTCCAAACCACAAGGCAAAAGTAAAATAAAAACGTGAACATGAGGCAACTGAGCTACAGCTGCAAGACATATCATCACCACTGTCTCACACATCTCTCACCTAGTTCAGCCTCATCCCCAGAGCAAAACCAACAAAGCTTCCTGTCATGCAACTACAAGCAATCCTTTGGAAATCAGTTCAGAGAATTTTGAGGTTAAAGTCCCTCTTTACTGTCTTTTTCTCATGATGAAAGCTGTCACGCTATAGAATGGCTTGAAAAGCTTGGATGTAAGGTAAGTCCTAGTGTGAAGCTAAGGGAATGGCACAATTTCATGACTAGGTAACCCAAATCACAGCCTGTCACACATCACTGCAGTTTGAACACAGCTATGACCATCACTGCATCAATTTAGAACAGACAAATTTTGCTGAACCTTCTAAGTGGAAGAGCAGCACTTAATACATAAGTAAATGGGGGAAAAAATGAGCATAAAGGCTCAATTCCAGCCCCAGCCCCAAAAGCAGAACTGACTGCAGGGATTACAATATTTAGCATGCTCCAAAAATTTTCCTCGACAGCTTTTTGCTCCATGTGATGTACAGGAATTTCTCATGCCTCCAGAGCCACCAGCTACTTCACATGCAATTTACCAGCAGCACTCTCCATGAAAAATAGATGGAGCTCATAAATGGATCCGAGTAGTCCCCAAAAAGGTTCCAGTCTCTTTGCAGGGTGTTTTCAAAATGCTGGGACAAGGAGATGGCACACTGAGGTCTGAAAACCAATCTCCCAGACCCAGAGAGCTTTGGTAAGCAAATGGCTTGCGCAAAGTTTCTGTCAGAACACCCATTTGAAGCGCTGGCATTGCAAACAAGGTTGCTCCAGAGGCACCTGGGATTAGCACTGTTCAAACAGTCCTTGGCAGAGCCCAGGAACAGATTTGCAAGTTCAGCTTTTCCCCTGCCTGACGCTCTCCCGGCACCTCGGAACAACACCAGAGCTCCGACAGCCTTAACCCTGCTGTTTCCCACACGGAGTTTGAGACACAGGGATGGGCATGGCAGGAGCTCTGTGCTTAATCACAGGACTTAGTGGAAGAAGAAAACCCAAGGAGGCAGCACTGTGGGGCTTTTTTCCTGTGTTGCAGGATGAGATCCAACACCAGGCTGTCCAGGAGCAAGCCGGGCACACGAGTGTCCCTCTGCAGAAGCACGGCAGCTGAAAGCAATGCACGGGATATGCAAGGAGAATGGTGCCAAGCCAGACAGGGCAGCTGAAAAACACCAGGCACCCTAAAGGCTTACCCTGATATGAAGGCACAGAGCAGCCTCTCCCCCCTGCACTGGGCACACAAGCCAAGACACTCCTCGTGCCTCGGGGGCACAGGGAAGGAAACCTCAGCCAGTGAAGCGTCCTTTGCATGCAATTCCTGTGGAAGCCAGGCACGACAAGGACACCCACCTTCCCTGACACATCTCCCCCACCCTCAGCTCTGGCAAGAAGGTGCTGTGGTTTCCAGGAGCAGCAGCAGCATGAAAACAACAGGAACATGAAGGGTGACTGGAGTCACGGCAGGGAAAGCTTTGCACAAACACATTTACAGTCGCTTCCATCCACACAAGCATCCTTGAAGGAAACAGCTGCACCAGACCACAGCTGACACAGACTCTCCAGGATGGGACATGAGTTCACAGCTCCTCTAAGCACCATTCATTAAGTTGATGCTGAGGCCAAGTAAAGAACAAGCACTCAAAAAAAAAAAAAGCAATACATGGTGTTGTAGGTAAATGTCAGATGGATGTGCAGCTCCAGAAAGCCACCTCAGAAAGGTTTGGAAAAAAGAAAAACACTCAGGAGCAGCAGCAAGGCAGACCCACCACTGACTGAACTCCGTGTCACATAACACATCACAGACAGAAAACATGCCCCTGAGCTGCCTCCATGGTCATGCCACAGCAAACAATTAATCTTGCTTGTTTGGGGTGGGGGAAATGGTCTCTGGACTGTTCCTCCATCCTCCTCCTCCCTGCTGGAGCTGGGAGGAAAGCCTGCCAACAGAGTTTGCCTGTAACAGGCACCAAGCTGCTAGAAAATCACCTGAGCAACATAAAACATCTTTCCACACCCCCCTGTAACACTCTGCACTCTCCTTCTCACACCTCAGACCTGAGTGGCTGCAAATCCCACCCCTGAACGATGCCATTCTGCATCCCTCATTTTCATACTCCAGTTTGTTTGGTTTTTTATTTTAATGGCAAGTGCTGTGCTCTCCTCCCAGCCCAAGTGGTGCAAAGCTGGCTCCCAGGTGCAGAGCACAGCCCCAGCTCCCCTGCCCTGCAGCCTCAGCACAGGGACAGTTGTGTTCCTGCCCAAAAACAGTGTGAGGACTTTCCTGCTTGGTGACAGTCTGCCCTCAGACGCTCGACCTTACAACCTCTGAGGATGCTCTGCCCACTAGAAGGGGAGACAAGCTGATCCTCACTCCTGCAAAGCATTGGAGGAACCCACACCCTGCAGAGCCTTCCCCAAAAGCTGCCAAGCTCCGTAGCTCAGTTTTGCATATTGGTACAGAGCCCAGCTGCTGGTGTTTCACACACCACCCCCCAGAGTCCGCCTCTGAATGGCACGATTTTCAATTGCTTCCTCCTGCCATACTGCCCCAAGGCAGGATCTGCCAGCAGCCCTGCCCATCACCACGGGAAACAGGATGGAAGCCCCATGAGAAAGAGGAGCAGCAGGGAGCAAGAACACCAGGAGATCCCACTGTGCTCTCCTCCGCTCTCCTAGGGATGGGCACAGGTCGAGGGGATTAACTGGGTCCTTCCCCTCTCTTTATCTCACCAATCTCGGGCTGTTGCCAAGTTGTTTTGAGCTCTGGCATGGCTGCTTTCCACCCAGGACCTGCACAAAAGGCCGTGAGGAGCCTCAGTGCAGAATTCCTGGCAACAGTCCAAACCCAGAGGTCGGTAATTGGGTCACTGGGTTCAGCTTCCGAAAACCATTCCTTCAGGAGGTGTGGTGAACGCAGGCACAGTCAGCAGACAGAGCTGGACACTCCTGCAGCTCCTCCACCACACCCTCCACACCTTATTTCGTTACCCTCTCATAAAGCACTCGGTGACACAGGGACAGAGCAGCCTGGACAGGGAGAGCCCCGACTTCCACGGCAGCTGCGTGCACGGGGGAGACATGATTCAGGTAAGCAGCACGTAGCTGAAAGCACATCGCTATGCAGTGCTCAGCCCCAGGAATGCAGAAGGGAAACATGAAGCCACTTGTCTGGCACGGCAAATAACCCTTCAATCATCCGCCAGGCCCTGCCGGGAGCTCTGGGTTGGGAAAGAGAGGATGTCTCCAGCCAGAAACCTTCAGCTCCTACCAACCGCGCCACGAGGCGCTGCTGCGCTTCCTCCCCGCGTCTGCAAGCGAGCTCCAAACACACAAAATTAAAATCCACACAAGTGGCATGTACTGCAGGAAGAGAAGAGGTCTGAAGAGCGATCAACATCAGCATGGTGAGCAGCTGGCTGGTGGGAAAGAACACGCCTGTCCAACACCGCCCTTCCAGTGGGTCGC